TGCATCTGTAAACCAGGAATAGTTGGTGAGATGTTAATAAGGAGAGCCCATGACAAAACTAGAAGGCAAGTCACTGTTTTTGTAAATTAGAACTTCTATGTTTAACAATTTCTGTTGCCTGCTAAACTCCATTTGTATTCTTTTTTTTTTCATTTCTTCATCTAATATATACTCAGCAAAACAAGACAATTTTTTCTTTTCTATTGTTAGCATTTCCACTGATATACTTCAAAAAACCAAACCTCAGTGTTTCTAGTATCTGGTGCATTAGGAAAAATAAAAAGGCATTTAATAATTTACAGTCCTTGAATGGGTAAAAATATTCAGTTCTTTGTCCTATAGTTCATCATCTCTTCCTTTGTCATTATACTCTGCTTATTTCCCTTTTAGTAATTTCCTTGGGTACTTAAGAGAAAAAGARTTGCCAATAATGGAAAAATAGTCCCCAGCCAAACAAGAACCCAACCTGGACCACAGTTAAAATCAACCATTTCTCTAGKGCTTTACAAAGTAAAGTTAACAGCAGGTGATCAAGTAACCTGCAAAACAAACAGTAAAATAGATTTGATCTTCCATCTCCTTTGAGAAATCCCTTCAGAAAATACTGACCTCTATGTTTAAGATTTTACTTTTAAAGCTTTTTACAGAATTTAAAAACAACTTAAATTCACCCACTTAGTATTGTTAAGAATCTTAGTGGGTCTTAATAGAGTCTCAAACTGTTAAGTTAAAAATTTACCAACTTCTAGTGTGTTTCAATAGAACACGTTTGATTTCATCAGCCTTGCATCAAAGTCTGCCTTCCACCCCAACAGTCACAACTTGGGCTGCTAAGCACTACAAACAACACTTCCCAGAGGAAAAGATATTTACAAAAAAGTAAATAGGTTTACTATCAACATTATGTATTTCTAGCTACATATGTGCACAAGCTGGTCGCTTAGAAACGCTCTCTAGGTCTCACACTGAGGAAGTATCCAAAACTTTCATGAGAAATATTGCTAAACTGAGGTTATACAGATATATAAAGAAGCCACAYGACACAAAATATTAGCTGTCTTAATAGTATTTGATGTTACAGTATCTCTGCTGTCTAATATTTCAAGTGCCAAAGTATTGAAGATTTCAGCTAGGTTAAATTTAACATCTTCACCCTGCTTGGCAAGCCACTGAATTTTATGAGCATTTKCAGCATGTATTCTCAGCATGAAATTCCTTTTAAAAAGCAGGCAGACATATGTACCAGTTTAAACTAACAGAAGGATACACTTCCCTGTTTCACAAGAAAGTTCAGCTGCTGACAAACAAGGTGACAGGGATAAGGTCTTAATTTGAGTGAGGTAGTGTCTTTCTCATATCCTTCTCCTCAGGCTGGAAATGTGAGTAACTTGTAACAATCAGCAGCACATTCACAGTAAGTTTGTGTYCAGTTCCAATTGCATTCTGCAGTTACAGAAAGAAATATGAGACAGGCTATTAATTTATCTGAAGGAGATAAAGTCTGAGCCTCAGACAGCTAATATTCAGTAATATTCTCTCCCTACTGCACATYGTGTTATTGATTCTTGAGGGCATGAGAGTGGTGTTGTCACATCAGGAGAAAATGACTAGAATGCTATTTTTGTACTAGAGACACAAACTTGTGCCTTTTGACAGCCCTAAATAATTTAAATAGCAAAATACCCAGAGAGAATATTGTRATATTCTATTTGTGAGAACTGCATTTGTGACATACAAGCAATTTTCTGCTATACTCCTCACATATGCTCCTTGTCTGTATCTTCCTTCATTTTTCATACTTATCTCATTAAAAAACACTTCTGTTGAAGTCATATCTGGAAGTTTCTTCAATACAAAGCTGTATCATATTTTTTCCCTTTTTCTTCTTCTTCTTTTTTTTTTTTTCTGTGTGCCATCTGGAGACGACAGACACCTGGGCTGAAATACTTATTACACTTACTGAGCCAAATGCACAGCATTTGTGTCCTCACCAGGCTGTTGTCACTATCTCAGTAAAGACATTTCTTAGCACCTGACAGTGCATTTCCCCTCTGTGACAGCCCCTCAGACTCTCACCAAGGCATGAGCTATGGCTACACTGGAGAACAAAGATAACATGGAAATCTTGACCAGTAAGTGACCACGGAGGGATATTGCAGCATTTCAGAATTATTGCAATTGCTATCATGAATATTTATTTGAACCTGGTGCCAATGCCTTCAGTGCACCAACAAGGCTTCAGCTGGCCCCATTTCACCTGGGACCTCCACCCACTGGGTCTCACTTCACACCAATTCCCTGATTAGAAAAAAAGCAAAACCAACCAAACAAAAGCTAACCAAAAAGCCCCAAGCCACGGAAAGTCATGACAGGTGACTGATCAGTTGCACATTCACAATTTCCCAGGAGGTACTAGATAAGGAAAAAAAAAAATAAAAAGCAAGTTCTTCTGCCACAAATTGTACTCAAGAACAACTACATTGAAATTAATCTTCCAGAAAGTTGAGTTTTAGGATGASAACAAAACAACTTATGACAGCTTTTATCTAAAATGTGTTTGAACTGACCTCTAGAGTATGATTCAAATCATATTAAATTTGCAGCATGCAACTATAAAGAAACCATTCTGTGACACAGAGTTTGCAACCTCAGGATAAGAAAAACAAACATTCAGCAAAGAAAATTTATAAAAAAGATGCCAAGGATAGAAGAAAGGTAGGTACAAACAGGGCAATGAGCAACTTTCACAGCATATGCCTATTTTTCTGCTAGCACATAACATAATTACTTCAAAAGTACTGTTAAATGGAAAAGAAAAATCTCCTTTGAAGCTTTCCTCCTAGGCTTTCTTTCAGTCCTCCTGCAGCCATCCTTCCTCTTCAAAGGGGTTTTCCTCAGGGGTAGGCTAAACAATGTAAACACTGTGGGTCAGTTTATTCTACCTGACAGAATTTTTACAGATTACAGGTAACCGCAAGTAAGAGTCCAGTGGGATTCTGAAGCACCCCTAACTACAACCTCAGGTGTTCAAGTCCTTTAAATTCTGGCCCAGGATCAGAGACTCTTAAACTTGAGCTGGACTAAATTAGCTAAAGTGATATTTAGCATATCAAATAACTGAATCAAAGAAAAACAGTCACCCACAGATTCTACTCTCTTCATTTCCTTAGCTCAAAATTAATCTCAGTTTTTGTTTATATCTATGAATCTTAGCTATAAAATGAGAATTCATTTTATCTATCAGAAACCTAACCCTAAAGCTGTGTACTATGGGTATACAAGACCATATCTTCAACTGTCTTCAAGACAGCTTTAAAATGAACTTAAGCCATCAACAAAAGATAAGCTAATAAGTTTTCAATATATACTAAGTATATTGAAATATTTATCAAAGCAATATATACAGGAATTTAATGTCAATGATTTTTAGTGCAACATTATAGATTGTTATAGACTAAAGTTTCAGCTAAATGGATTATAGGTTTTTTTTTTAAAGTAAATCACCACTTGACACCCCCCCCCCAAAAAAAAAAAAAAAAAAAAAATTGCCAATTTAAAAAGTAGTAAGCTGTGAACAATCTCTTCCAACTCAGGTATGCAAGCAGAAAAGAAACCCAGTACCCTCAGCACTTCTGCTCTGCTCAGCTCATGTCAATGGATCTTTTTACTTATCATGTTTGAAYTGCAGGAACAGTACCTGATCTTTGCCAAAGATGCACCATATATCTTCTTGAGATCTGCAGACACTCATCACATCCAGRAGCAGCAGTTAGGTGCAAGTCCACAATTCCATCAGTAGGAGACTCTGTACCCTGGTCTGAGGAACATCTGGCAATGTCAGTACATGAAGAAACCTGAGAGGGCCCTGGGGTGCCACTGGCACACTTCTTGGAATAACTCGTCTGTTCCAGAGAGGCAGGAAATTAGAAATAACTCCAGGTTATGCAGTTCTCTAGGATGCCTTCAGTCCTGACATTTTTACCACTGCTTGCCTTCAGAAGTAATCAGAATCAGTCCAGACACCTCCTCTCGCTGAAAAGAAAACCAAAATCTGACTTAGACATTAATAACCCCTCTTTGCTCTTCCCTATGACCTTCCTAAGTCAACTGCCCACCCTGAAAAAAACCTCCATGAGTCTTCCACAAATGATCCTCAGTTGGCACCAGAACACCTCCTTTTACAGCACTAATTCGTGGACTCCTCATCCCAGCAGGCAATCATTAAGCTCTTCATTAATCCCAGCCAGGCTCCTGCTATCCTATCCTTGTTAAGCAAATAAAATATAGACCTTTATGCAAATCCTGAGGTACCAAGCTAAATTTCTTGAGTGTTTCTATGAAAAATACTTTTAAAAAGTTATWTTAAGCTTTCATTAGAGGGATTTAATGTTTTACCTCCTCAATAAACAGTTTGTGAGACCACAAAACAATTATTTCAATTGTTGTAGGATTAAACTTTGTTTCCATTTTCTTTAAAGATGTGCAGCCAGACAACCTATGAAATGTAAACAGATTTTGTGCCCTTACCTGCTGTTAAAGGAACTTACATATTTCTATGTAATTAAAGAAAACATTTAYGAAACAGAGAAAATTGCAGAATTTTTTTAAAGCACATTAAAAATKATTTACAAGTATATGACATGAAAAGATGTGAATTGTTTAGTTAGCTTCAAACAAACAGCAATAATTCCCTGATAGTGCATGACAATGCACTAAGCAATGACATGACACAGACATACCTTAGATCAAAAGTCATTTWGAAGTTCAGTTTCACATCCTTGAAACATTTACCTTTAATTTTCTGGTTGTTGCCGTACAGACAATAAAGTTTTGATGATAGATTAACTCATTTAAATTTGCAAAGGTAGAAATATTTTAACAACCAGAGCATTAAGCTGGGTTTTTCTGCAGCTGCAAATTGCTTTAGTCTGGCCTATTTTTTAAATTTCTTTTCACATAATCACCTCTGAGAAATGAACTGATACACTGCTAACCTTTTGTCACTTCTAGAAGTAATCACAAATCTCTGTGATCCATCTTTCTTCAGCTTTCTTCTTTACATGTTCATGTCCTTTTTCTTCCTCTGAAGTAATCTAAACAGACATGAAATCATGAAACACACCAAGGCAGTAGTTATTAATAAACATTTATTAGCTAATTAATTCCAGACAGTTCATCATTATTCATCAACAAATCATAAACTGAAGTGAAATGAATTATTCCCAATTAGTTTGTCTTCAGCATCTTGCATTAATTATTACAGGTTTGATTCCTTTTGAGTCATTCTGTTTGGCATTCATCATGATTAAAAAGGATAGAATGCACTGTTATACAAATCATAGAGCTCCAGAGAGCTAGACACAGAAAGAATAATTTTCAGTTGCTTATTTTATCCTTAATCATATACATATTATTAGTTATAAGCTGAAAATTCACCTACATGAGAATGGTAGGAACAATTTCCCATTGTAAAATTAAAAGAAGTAAAAAAATAAAAATATTGTAGGAAATTATAGTTGTTCTGCCTCTCCTTCTTAAAGAAGGATTAAAATKATGTTTGAGGGTTTTCTTTACAAGCATCTAAGTAAAAAATACAGATGCTTAAATATAGCTGCATTTTTCTTTCTGAAAAGTACAGCTCACCAGTGGATGTCTTTTATTTACATGGTATTTAAAGGGATTTTTTTCCTAATTATATTAAAACTCAGCTATTCTACTGTTTGGTTTTGGGGTTTTTGGTTTTGTTTTGATTGGTTCGTTGGTTTTGTTTTGCTTTTTCCCCCACAAAATCTGTCTGTTATAATTTACTTCCTACATACTTATGAAAAAGCAGAAGGATTATAAAAGGAAATAGAATCCCATATGTACTATTAAGACCCACCTGAAACAGTGTGACTAGAGTTAAAAGAAAAAGAAATACCTCAGGTTATTAGGTCACTTTTTTGTTTTAAATATAAAATAAATATCTTTTCTGATAAGACTTTGGGACAGTGGTGAAATTTATATATCAAAAATAGTGAATCTATTTTTCCTATTTTATATTACTCACAAGGTTTTCTTCAATACAATGTCTGTCACTTCCACACAAACAGAAAAAAATGGCCTTTTGTTGTATTCCTATTTTCATTTATTTACTTCATTCATGTATACCAAACTGGGAATGGTTAAATTCCTCTTCTATGGCCCTAAATATACTCAGATTAAAATTTCCTAGAAATTATTCTTTTTTTCCTGACAAAATGTCAATTTTTTTCTGACTATCCTATGTTATTGCTCTTTGTAATTTTAAAGGATGCTAAGAAAATATAATAATATAATGTCTTCTTTAGGAGCTACAACTATCTCTTCTGGGCACTGCCTTGGAAATATTTTATGTTGCATGTTTAAAGCAGCGTCTGGCTAGAATCTTTCCTTGATTAGACTCACTTTTTTAAGTTTCATATAACTTAAGGCTCTCAAAGGCTTCCAAGGCAGAAGTGGGAAGGGCRGAACATCTCACCATGTGCTAAGTGTCAAGGAATCCCTGTGAGCTGAAACCCTGCTGCCTCAATTGTTGCCTCCTCTTGACTGTTTATTGAAGCAAAGMTGGGTGTGAAGCACTGCTGGGTGGATGCTGCTTTTCACTGGCAGGAAAACCAGAGGGGAAARGAAAATACAAGAGGGCATGCCCTGTAAATTGCAATACCACAGGATCAGTAGTCTTAATGCACATCATGGAAGGTATTACTTCACTTGAGAGAGCATTTCAGATAAACCTCTTCTGTACTTCTTAGAGAAACAAATCTTATATTTATGATTAGAAATATATATTGATTCTTTCCAGAGATTTGATAAAGCACATTTTGACATGGGGTTTTCATGAAAATAATGAAAAAGCCTATTCAAAAATTGCTATGTAATAAAGCACTTWTAGATATTGTTGTTCTCAGATAATTGACATAGTTATATACATATTGTGACAACCAGAGGATTACCATCAGTAGCTGATAAACATCAATGGCATTAGAGAGCAGGACTTTTGGCATGCAAAATATTTTGATTATTGAAGAGGACATGGAAGGAGTTCCTAAAGACATGCCCAACTTAAAGCAAAAGTGAGGTATTTTGGCTTATAAATACCTTTCACCAAAGGGTAAACTAAGCAAAATTACTTTGCTGTGGCCTAAGGTTTCTTGTTTACTGTCCCACAGTCTGGTTTTCTATTAGTCAGGCTTTAAAGATGCCTACATGTTTGCCTCTGTCGCAAGCTCAAAACCCCAACTGTTCTTGCTTCCATTATGAATCCCTAAGCTCTTCCTCTGGCGTCTTTTATATTACTGGAATTTTCAAGACAACATGTGTGAAACTCATTCAAGGGGAAAATGTGAGTTTCTAACWAGACAAGTGAAGAGTGTTGCTATAGTACTTATAAATAAGCCTACATACAGAGGCTGGCAGCACAGGATATGCCAATCTTAAAATTATGAATTCCATCTATCACCTAGATAAATTTGTTGGCCTAATGGAATCACATGCACACAAAAAAAAAATCAAAAAGGGATGAATAGGAGAGAGTATAGTTCAGTCCTAAATATCCAGTTTACACTCAATACATCAATAATTTAATTCTGGAAAAAAAAAATGTATATATAAAAACACCCTTGCATTCTGTTGTGTTCATCAACAGAGTTGCAACTTGATATTTTTTATAATTTTTAAAATTTTCATCCACAGGTATTTTATTTATAACATCTGCACTGCTCTAAGAATTACACATCCCTATTTCTTTAAACAAAAATGTTCTAGGGGAAATAGGAGATTGTTCCTTGGACTGTTCTAACACTTTTGCATCCCAGGGAAATCTCAATAATCTAAAATTAGGAGAGAGAAACTCTTCCAGACTTCCTTACCTGCTGAGACAGGGAGTAGAATCTACATGTCTGCACAAAAAAAAAACCCAAAGCATAGTGCATGTCATTGGAAATATATCCTACCCAACTTGCTGACAAGGCCAGGAGACGAGGTAAAAATCCCAAAGGGCCATTTGGATTCCATGTTTCCTGAAGTAATGCTTTAATGACAATAAACCTACAATTTTGTGGCAATCTTGACWCTGATAGACTTAGAGATAGAAAAATGATATGCTGAATTGTGCCCTTTTGAATAAGGAAAAATACATAGGTTRTTAAGACAGATTAAACAGAGTCAGAAGTTTTCTATATGCTAAAGAGGATCCCCTAATTTGCTTGAAATCTGAGGTTTTCAGGTTTCAAGTGTTTATAATTTACTGATAGCTCCATTTCTTCATAGCAAGTTTGGTTACAAAATATTTATTGTATTGTTTCGTTTATAATTCCTAATTGCAAAGCAGGATCCCCTCAGATATTGTACAGAGGTATAAAAAAAACAACCCCTGCCCCGAAGACGTTACAGGCCCACCACAAGAGAAAACAGATGGGCAGAGACAGATGGGGGAACAGAAGGAAATAATAAGAGTTCTATGATGGATATAAGAAATGTAATTAGGCTGATCATTTACCCATGCATTGTAAAGTTTGCCATGAATATGATGCCACAGACAGATTTTTCAGAGAAGTTCTGCATTACAGATCTTTTCCGTCTCCTGCTGTAACGAGGGCACTTCTGCCACACAAAGTAGCACAGTTCAGGAGAATTTCTCAGTAATTGCTTACTCATGTACACTTTGCTTAAGTGTCTCTTGGATATTAGCCAATTTCTGAGCCCTTTCACAGTGGGAAGATAAGGCAGAGATCTTGTTTAAAGCTTTTCCTACAATTCCATTTTGTTAATGAAACATCATCTGTTTGATTACACTCTGATGACCGTGCTTCCTAACATGGGAATGRGAGATAATAAAAGCATATTATTTATATATAAATATATTATTATTATTATTTCATAACTACTTTTCTCCTCCCCACATTGATACTTTGGTAGCAGAAGGCTGAAATCAGCTCTTGACTGAAACACATTTACACATCTTTCGATGTTCACTTATGTCTATTTATGTTTGCAAAGTTTTGCTTTACTAGAAACTGGAGATCTAACAATTTTATTGTACAATGAAGAAAATACATGRAGGATGGCTATGTCACCTTTGTTTMGAGCATAAATAAAACATAAGCTCCACAGAAGAAACAAYGATTAAGCTAAAAAAGATAAAATATATTTGTCTTGTTTGTTTCATACTACATGCACAGGACATCTGCTCTGCTAGAAAAAATACTTCATTTTTTTAAGGTTAAACAAGATTCCAAAAAGTATCCAAATTAATATATTATGTTTTATTGTAGAGCAGGAATACATTCTTCTTTTCAAATGAAGATATTTGGGCCTGTAGTATGAATATGGTAAATAAAATTAATGGTTAAGCATACTTTCTCTCTACAATTCAGATGTCTCTTTCACCTTAAAATGTTTATGGAAATGTCATTGTTTCCCAGAAGTGCTAAAACCAACACATACACACACACCAACACACAAATAAATCAATGAAGCATAAAGGTTATTGATAATTTAATAAAGAGGCACTTGGCAGTACGCATCTTCTTAATCTTGTTCTAACACTTGATATTTGAGAAATAATAAAATTTTGTGATACTTTAATTCTGAACATGGAGCAATTCACATTTAAAGCAGAACTTTCTTAATTATGTTAAATTATGATTGAAATGCAAGGTAGGGCTGATGGACATTATGTATCTGCCCACGTGTTGTAATGGAGGCAACATTAAATCACTACGGAGCACAACTTCACTCTGGATAAAACAGGATAATACAATGGAAAGAAAACAGAAAATCCTCAGTTGTACAATCAGATCAGATCACAACAGTTTCTGATGTCAGCAACTACCAATTCCTGTGGAAAGGAATATAGGAATGGGATAATGTTACTATCAAAATTTACATTGAACTCCTTTTATGTTCAATTCCTAGCACAAAAGCACTTTGGATTCTTCATGTAAGTTACATGTACCAGTGAATTTTTTTCATTCACAAAACCCTGTTTTTGCTTCTCTTTGCACCACCTAAGAAAAAGGATCAGTTCACATCTGGCTCCACTGAATTAAATGTAAAACTACTGGTGCCTTCA